TTGCCCCCTCTGGAGTGCAGGGGGACGAGCATAGCTCCCCGCAGCCTCAACTCCCGCCGAGGAGTCACTTTTTCCCTCCCATCAAATTATTTATCCTGAATTGGTTATGATCAAAAATGCACAAACCTTGTAGCAGTTTTTCCTACGTAAAGGTTATTTACTGCCTAAACAGTATCCTAACATTTCAACTAGAGTCGAACTGAAATGAGAATTCACACGAGGAGCAATACATTTTGTTTTGCTTTGTAATACCAAAAAATTTGAAAGACGCTGTTGCAATGAGATGCAAGTGTGAAGTAGTTCATCTTTTTCATCAGTGTTAGCCACACTTGCTTTCAACTTGTCTTAATTCTTTTCCAATTCTAAAATGATTTTTCAAAAAGTCTGAGGTAGCGAAGTAGCTGCTGGTACTTCAGCTTGATTCTGAAGAAATAAATTTTAAAAGCGAATCTTAAAAGCCAACTCATGAATTTAAAATGAAGGCAAAGTCCAATTCGCCACTCCCACCCATTTTTCACACCAGCTGTCTACCAATTGTGGCTGCAACTTTTCTGACACGACTAAACGGGCTGAATCACTTGCTGAAGACTCGGCTTCGCTAGTACTCGTGAAGAACCGCACTTTCAGCCGGATGGGGCAGGGCCAGGCTCAGAACCACCAGCTAAGACCCAATCCCCTCGCTAGGGAAACGTAACTAGGCAACCACCACAAGTCAACAGCGCGCGCTAGCTTCAAAACAGCGGGTTGCAGGGGGTACTGAAATTAACTCCAGAGAACCAGGGTCAGCAGCGAGGGGCAGAACAGAGCCCTAAAACCTAGTAGCATCACAAAAACGAGGCATCAACTGACCGGTAGTCTGAAGCTGGGGAGTTGTTTTAAAGACTACGAGAAAAGGGGCAGACCTACTCCACGCACTTTGCTGCGGGTCACAGTTATTTTCTCAAAACCCCAAAGGCCAGGAAGAAAGGTGGCAGTCCCAGCCAATGAGAGGCGGACACAAGTTGCACCTCTGGCGGCCGTCGGCGCCGTAGGCGGGGTAGAAAGAAAGGAACGAGCGCGCGTGCGCGGAAGGCTCAGGCGGCCGCGCGCAGGGACACAGGCTGAAAAAATGGGGGAAGGGTGGAAGAGGAATATATGCGCACGCGCACCGGAGGCCGCGCGGGCTCTGGGTCTCGAGCCAGGTTCGCAAACACGAGCGCGCGCGCCGTTAGCACTGCTCGGCGCCCCCGCCCGGCCTTTTCGGCCCGTAGTGCCTCGAAAACCTGAAGGAAGCTGACGAAAAAACGCACAAATAACGGCGCAACGTCTCCTTGGTTCTCCTTTTGCCGCCAACCCGTCACCACCCACAGAAGAGTCAAAAATATGGCCTGTCCTCGGTCTTCACTGCTTCTTGAGTAACTTGAATACAGCGCGAGGCCTACCTGACACGCCGAATCGCGGTTCCGGGGATTTATCTCCGTTGCAACCACACAGCGGCCATTTCCCGACTCAAGAACGCGAGGAAAACCATAGAGGTACCTTCGACGCGCTAGCTCGTCTCCGTCACTTCCGATCTGGGGCGTGGCCTCGGGTGCCGCTAAATATGCGGGCAAGCCCCGCCCACCCTTCCGCTCTGGTCCGGCTTCCTGGCTGCTATTAAGATGTTGCCTGAGGCCTTCTGGGAAGTCGCGTGGCTGGTCTCGCGCGAAGGTGTGGCGGCCCCGCCCTCTGGTCCGTAGCGACGGCCTTGGCCGGAGAGGCGGTAGAGTGGGGTGGGTATTTTGCTAGGCCTGAGTTAGCTTGGCCGTAAGGCGCTTTTTGTTGGCGTCTCTGCCTAGTTCCGAGGAGACCCTCTAGACCTCACCGCCGCCCCTACTTTTTACCTCAGTAAGCTTGTGTGGTCTGTTCTTTCTGTGGGGCCAGCTTAGACCAGGCAGAAAACAAAAAGACAATCCCACATTGAGGAAAAGACCAGGAGGCGAAACGCGGCTGTGATTGCAGACACGCTGCTCCCTCAGCCAGCAAGGGCCACTTTTCTTCCTCTTGGACGCCTAACTGGAGATTAGAAAGCGTGGCTTTTGCTTTGCTATTAAGTGCGGCAGACGCACTTAGTTGAAAAATGGCCACTATCTAAATCGCTTTCCTGAGTGGCGTCTGATCAAATCGGAGCTCACGCCGCAGCAGCCGGAAGCCTCTTAGGCTGCTCGCGCCAGAGGAGGCAGCCTTCCTGACGGCGTGGTGACAGCTTTACCACATCGGCAACGTTGGCATAGGCATAAAAAAATAAAGAGCACGAAGCAGTTGAGCTTTCAGCCTGTGAGGATGATTTGTGGCAGCCGAGGAACACAGCCCAACGTAGCTTGGTTGGCCAAAATTATAAGTCAGATTGAAAATAGGCAAGCCACATTTGATTTGAATAGAATTTAAATAACAGCCTTAGCACATTTTCCATTTATACTTCTCCGGGCTGCACTTTCTTAGGGCCTAAAACAGCTATTACTTTGATGTTTAGGGATGTTAACTACCTTGATGGATTTCAGACTTGTAATTAGCAACCAGAGTGTCAGTGAATGAATCGAATCTAGTATTGGGCCCTGGTTGTGAATTTACCACTGTGCTTAGGGCATTCTTTCTTCACAGTCCAATTTACCAGCTCAACTAGAAAAACGACAACATTTTCATGGAGTGAATCCTAGGTTTTTATTGTACAATCTGTCCCTCACCCCATTACCACCTCAGGATGTGGACACAGGAATCTTTGGCCTTTTTGTTGTGCCCTGATGTCCCAAGCATTCGCAGGTATCAGGGGAAACCCCACCCCCGATATTCAACGTTTGTTCTTTTCTATTTCCCTAAGCGTCAGCTGGTCTGAGATATTCTCAGTAAATGTTTGTTGAGTGAATGAACTATATTAAAAAAAATAAATAAAGGCTCAATACACCTCTGCTATTCTGCATGTATTGGGAGTCGGGGCGCTCAGGGCTGACAGCTTTTATTCATTTATTCAAAATACACCAAATCGCAGGCTAGGATATTATCTTGAACCACCCTCTGCAGTTCTATTGCACATGTGTTGAAAATGAAGTCGTCTATTTGAGGCAATATAACTGATTATGATTTTATTTACTTAACATGAGGTAGTAACAAAGGAGATCCTTTGGAACAAAGCCTTTAGTAAATGGAAGTTATCCAGACTTCTCTTGAAATAGATCCATTTGATACGTGATGCTTTCCCAATCTACAAAGTAGGAGGTTCTTGAATTTAGATGTTTTATGCACATTCTTATTTTCAAAACCTGAAATTCCACCATTACATATTCATTCTTTGTAATAAATGTTTTTTCCTATTAAAATACAAACGCTGAAAAGAAAAAGGAGCACATTTAACAAATGGGCATTGGGGAAAAATAGAACATTATCTCAAGAAGAAATATAGTTGTAAACAAATGACCAAAACTGCTAAGAAGATACAAATAGAATGCTGAGATAAATTAGTAAGCTGATTTTAATTTTTTTTTTTTTTAAGACAGAGTCTCGCTCTGTCACCCAGGCTGGAGTGCAGTGGCGCGATCTCCGCTCACTGCAACCTCCACACCCCGGGTTCAAGCAAGTCTCCTGCCTCAGCCTCCCAGGTAGCTGGGGTTACAAGCTCCTGCCACCAAGTCCGGCTAATGTTTGTATTTTTAGTAGACACAGTGTTGCACCATGTTGGCTAGGCTGGTCCTGAAGTCCCAACCTCAAGTGGTCCGCCCACCTCAGCCTCCCAAAGTGTGGGAATTACAGGCGTGAATCACCGCACCAGGCAAGGTAATTTTAATTTATGGTCATGGAGAAGTTATTGTTAATATGATTATAAAACTCTTTCTTGAGAGATGTTCCTTTTGTTTTGGTTTGATTTTAAGATAATGGAAAAAGAGAAATGGACCAGATGCTGTGACTCACGCCTGTAATCCCAGCACTTTGGGAAGCCGACACGGGCGGATCACTTGAGGTCTGGAGTTCGAGACCAGCCTAGCCAACATGATGAAACTCTGTCTCTCCTGAAAATACAAAAATTAGCCGGGCTTGGTGGAGGGCTCTTGCAGTCCCAGCTGCTTGGGAGGCTGAGGCAGGAGAATTGCTTGAACCCAGCAGGTGGCGGTTGCAGTGAGCCAAGGAGTACACTCCACTGCACTCCTGCCTAGGCGACGGATCAAGACTGTATCTCAAAAAAAAGGAAAAAGAGAAATGGAGAAGAATGGATATGTGAAAAGGACAAAAACAAGAAGATAGGAATGAGGATGGAGTTGGAAGTCTAGCACAAAGGCAAGCTCCAAGACCTGACTGGTTTTGTTTGGTTTGTTTTGTTTATCTTTTTAGGTGGAACATCTGAACTATTTCCATTCTACATTATGGTGAGTTGTATAATTATTTCACTATATATCACAATGTAATAATAATAGAAATAAAGTGCACAATAAATGTAATGCACTTATATCATCCTAAAACCATCCTACCGCCCTCAGTCTGTGAAAAAATTGTCTTCCACAAAACCGGTCTCTGGTGCCAAAAAGGTTGGAGACCGCCATTATAGCCTGCAAAGCAGTATAAGACATCATTGCTGCTTCTCTGCTGT